CAGTTTTCGGAAACAGAGGCCACATCTGAAATGACTAATATACTAATAGCCATGTCTCGAAAATATAAAAAAGGCGTAAAATAGCTGTAGCGTCACAGGAAAAGAGTCAAATCCCACAGCTTTTTACTCCGAAATCAACTACACAAAATGTAAGCTAAGGCTACCCCTTGCCAGTGTGGTCATAGTGCCTGGTTTCGCTAGATTATTTTTGTGGGGGTTGAGGGGGGGAGGGTATTATGGTATACATGTAGTTATTTTCGCCCGGACTTGGAATCCTAAAAAATAGGCCTACTGTTTTCAACTAACTACAGATACACGGCTGGCACATTTTCAAATGAAATGGATTTATCGTGGCATCTGTGACCAGCATAGCATCTGTGTTGGAGTAGTTAACCCCCCCACCCCCTCTTTCCCCCACGACTGTACGCTGAAGATGTGACCTTGATTCTCGTGAAAGGAAGTACATTGAATTACCGGAGACAAAAAAAGTAGTCACCTCCGGTATTACATGAAATCAAAGCTTCTGCGACTGTCTGCTTCCCTTTCAGCCCCGGAGAGCTTTGACAGAGGTGCGTTCAAAGAGATTATATCTATTATCTATTTGTGGTGGCCGAATTTTGCTATTCAAAAGGCTTTTTAATGACAGCATCGATCGACATTTGGTTTTCGCGAAAAAATTCTTTAAAATATTCTCCAGATCATGACGCCCTTGGTTGTTGTTTTTTTTTCAGTTTAGAGACAGTTTTGCAGCAAAAAGCTAAATTTCTTTATTTCGCCGATCGCTTTGGTAGGCCGACGCTTCTGTCTCTATAATTTTAGAAAATCCGGATTCCGCGAGGCGCATTTTGTTTCGAGAGTATAGATCTAGACCTTCTAATTTTTTGCATTTCTCAAGATTTATTTCCCCATTCCAGTAGAGTGTAAATATAGTAGGCCAATGACTTTTAGTTGATATTAAAGCACCGACCATTCCTTTCATCGAAAGGGGGCCCAGCAAGTATTATTATAGAACTAGAGCTCGTGGCAATGACGTCACGTGTGTCAGACATGGGGGGGGG